ATTTTAAAATGGATTCTGAAACTTTAACATAGCACAAGACTATTTAAAGACTGCACATACACCCCAAATGTCAAGCCAACTAAACCAACACTGCACTATTAGGCCTTGCTTATACACAACAAGAAAAGCATTAGCAACTCTGGTTTACGAAGCACTGCAGTGCACGCAGATACATTAGGGCTTTGCAAAGCCTTTGACAGAGCTGCTCTGCAGCCTGCTGGAGCGTAGATAAAGATTGTTAGAGGAGCCATGTCATCTGCAAAGCTTGGCCAGCTGCTTCAGAAGCTGCAGAGAATGAGGAGGAACCGTCCAAATCTTGCAGATGATGCAGCTGCTTTTCATGGTTCAAGAACAGGGGCTTTGTATGTGTTCCTGCATGTTGCATAGCCCTAAAGCAGAGATATCTTTGCATGACCAGAATCAAGTACAACACACACCTGACCAACTATCGTATATACTCGGGGATAACCTGAGAATTTTAGGTGCCAAAATATACCCCCCAAACTGGGTTCAGCTTATCCATGGATGGGCTTATCTGCAAGTATATATGGTATTATTATTTTAAGATACCCATATATCCCATATATACTCATGTATCAGCCCATCCGCAGCTAAGCCGACCCTTAACCAAATACCAAGAAAAATGACAAAACAAAATATTAGTAGGTTTGTAGCTGCCACCAGCCTTCCGGGTGCTTAACTTCTGCTTTCCTCTCAACCTTCCACTTCCACGTTATCCCAACCAATCTACCCCAAAGCAGGAGGGGTGTAGCTAGTCCCACTTGCTGTACTGGCTAGGTGGTAGAAGGTTGAGAATAAACAGCCCAGGCACAAGCCACAAAACAACCAATTGGATCAATCAGGACCCCCAAAACAAAATTGCTCGAAACAGTCAAGTTTTATTTCAGTATCTTTTGCCCTACTTTTGAGACAAAAGCTATGTTTTTCAAGAGTTTTGATCTCAGAAGACTTGTAACAGCTGTTCTGAGGTTGAAATATTTTGTATACCCTTAACCTCTGTCAGTTTCTCCCACTTTCATCTTAAATTCCATTTTCACATCCACATCCATTTTTATATATAAAGAGGTAGATTGGAAAAAATACACAATTTATATGCTTTTCCTGAATCCACATTTTTTTCTATGCATTTTCCTCTAATACATGCATTCTGACTATTTTCTCTATTACATGCAATTTGATGTGGTGTAGTTTCCCTAATATATGTACATTAACTGCATCTTTTTTTTTTTGTTTTTTTGTTAAGCAGAGCATTATATTGCAAAGTTCTGAGAAGTGCAAAAATGGACGGATCACTATGTTCTGGTGCGTGAACTGCTTGCGGGAAGTGCAAATTAGATTAGTTCTTATTAGTTATTAAAAACTGAAGTGAAGCAAAAGCATGGCTAGTTTGGAAAACAGAGAGTGAAATCCAACACCAAGAGGTTTAATATTAACACCAGCTGAAATCTTAATTTTGCTGGAGAATGTATCAGTTATAATAAATTTTGCTTTCAATAAAAAGGAGTATATTGTCTAAAACAGCAGCACAAAAGTGAATGAGTGAGTGAGTGAGTGAGTGAGTGAGTGA